TAAGCGGTGTGCTAAACCACTAGACCACCGAAGCTGTCATGATGAATGAATCATGTCAAAATGAATGAATGTACTGATCTATCTGGTCTTAAACTAAGAACATATAAACAATCCTGTTAAATCTACAATGAGGTTCACTGATATTATATTAATTTTATAATAGAAGTATTCATTACATCTATTGTTTTTTATAGTTCACTCTGTCACTACAGTCTGCTGTAATGAAAGTCATAAAAGAGTATCTCTCTCCTCTTGTTTATTACTAATCCGATGAAGTTGTACAGGGTAGTTTCAAAGGTTTCCAACAGGATTATTATAGTACGAAATAAATCCTCTGCCTTCCGAGATACTGCAATTCTAACTAAAAATAAATGTTTCAGACATCTGTACAGAACATTTTTTTATTTGTAATGGGAAACAAGCTGACGATCCACCTGATGACAAGAGAATCGGTGCCTATATACATATATAGCACAACGAACATCACATTAAGACGTTATAGCGTGAGTAATAATATTAGTAGTTAGAATAGTCCTATTGATAAAAATCTAGCGACTGGTGAATAAATTTTACCGTAGTCTACTCCTACTACTTGACTAAATCCTTTTGCTACTAATCTAACAGACCGATACAGACAATCATACTCATGAATACAAATGTTTGTGCCGTGCGAGGAATCGAACCCGCGACCATCGGACGTAAATGTTTTTCTAGTTTAAAGACCCATTTACACTTAGTTGACTTTCTGTCTGTCGGTCTGTCGACTAAAATGTATGTTCCGTGACTGTTCAAAGAGTCAGTCAGCTTTCATAGCTAGCGATTTTTCTTTTTGCAGATGATCTAACACTTCTTTGTAAGTCTAACAGAGTGACATCGGTATAACAGTGATATTCTAGATGTTATCATCTAGATGCCACGCCTCTTATCATGTAATTACACTGCCGAATACCTTCAACTGCAATACAGCTATAAAGCAAGTTGTTTGCCGGCGAAATATGACCTAAGGTGACCACGCGGGTGAGGGTTGAAGGGGATTGTTAAGTTGGATTGATAAGCAATGTACCATGTCAGTTTGATCTCTACATGGTTCGTCCTGGAAACCATTGTGACAATTTCATGGCGAATTTACCACGATGAGCTAACTGACCTGACCTCGTGTTCTTCTTATCATCCTCCACTAGAGCCCCGTCAACGTAAACCGTTAGCGCAGGCGGGTGCACCATTCCATTGTCATCCATAAGAAAAAAAAACAACGCAGAGAACTTTTTACATAATTAAAAATACTAACTCCTGATGAATTAAAAATACAATTGTTAAGAAAATAATTTAATCTAAAAGATAACGGTAAACCTCACCCACCCTGTCTTAATTTATATTTTACAAGAAGCCTTCATTTATAATCTGAAAATCATAACGTAATTTATCATACAGCTTAGCTATTTTGGATGGTGAAATCATAATTGCGATTTGATGAATAAATTTGTTTAATTTGCAAATATCCGTTTCACATCAGGCGTTCGGAATAATTCATTGGAATTGAATATCAATGAACGCTTAATGAGAACTAATTAATCACCACGCACTCCAAGCGAATGAAAAACTATTGGTTTTTAATTACAATATTAAGATTCTTCTAGTAGATCCAAATATATGGATGAACCTAACCTAATCGAAATAGCACTAAACATATTATTTAGAAAGTTTATATATTTAGAGCTAGTGGTTTTCTATCCTGAATTATTATTCGTAAGAAAATCAAATCTGACCGACTAAAATATGTGTGTGTCCATTTGTAACTTTGACTGTCTCTCTAGTCATTAAAAAACTAATAATTAACAAAATAATGCGACAGACGACTATTGACTCTGGCTCTATCGTAATCTGCCTACATGGCAGGGCACGTGCCATGTTAATTTGAAGTATATATAATTAACAAAATGTGGGCATGTTAAGTATTCCTTATTAATATAGTTAAACAGGTTTTAACATGAATAATTTTATGGTAAATAAAATTATTTACCTCTCTCGTCATATCGCTGTAGCCGTCACGAGCTGACTGGAGTAACAACCCGTTTAACTACATGTATTAATATTGTGTACTAAACGCGTAAGTTTAAAATAAGTATATTAATATAACAAAATACTCGTTACGCGGACTGTAAAAAATTAGGGGTAAAATGTAAAAAATTGTCTATGTGGGTAAAATTAAAAAAAATTCAATATCAGAAATAATTTATTCATGTAGGACATTTTAGCCGCTTATGAACGTCTTTTTTTAGATCATTATTTTTTTCCCCTACCGTCCAGTTCGGTATATAGATCCAATTGAGAAGAACTGGCAAGAAACTCAATTGAATTACTTTTTTTTTAAAGCCATATTACTTACAATGTATATTTATATAGGTGTCTATGTCAAACATTAAATGAAAATCCCGTGCATGAACAACTATTGCCACTATTGGTATCTTAGTCTCATCTACTCCAGCCGCCACGTAGCTTGCATTGCAAGCTGTATTTCAATTATACGGTGCGATTAGGCTGTGGCAATTATAAGATAAGATGCGTGATATCTTACTCCTCTCTAATAGCAACGCATGAGCGGTATTACGGATATCACATGACGCATGAATGGTAACTACAGATATCACGTGACGTATGAGTGGTATTACGGATATCACATGATAACATGATATCCTTAAAGCTGTTCATGTTACCACTTACCCTAAGGTGAGTCGTTAGGTTATTTACAATTTCTCTCAGCAGGATATAATGGAGTAGGTGTGGCAATATATTTTAATATTATTTATATTTTAGGCCGCCGATAATTTTAATAGATTACTAGTTCAATAAAAATTCATTGGACAGCCGATTTTTTAATCATTGAGAAAGACTAGGCTATATAACATCACGCTACGACTAATAGGAGCGGAGCAGCAATATAAAGTTCTACGGGTATTTTTTTTTTTTAATTTTTATTTTGGGCTATTGTCAGATGTGTAGCACCTGTAGCACTGCGACCTACATAGATCTATTGTGCTCGTAATAGACCCGTCAGGGACAAGAATTGAAGGATATTCTTAGGAGCGATCGTTTTTATCTCCTCGGGAAAGAGTGTAAACTTTCCAAAGGAGATATTTCGTTTATGCATGAGTGGGCTACAACCACATAGGATGTGAAGCGGCGTTTCCTCTTCAGTTTGGCAGAATCTGCAGATACTTTTCGTGCATAGGCATATATTACTTGAATATGTACATGAAAAATGCTGAATAATTGTAATCAAAACAGTTTTAAAACTACAGTTTATAATCCCAAGGCCAGAGGTTAAAACAAATAAAAAAAGTATGCTACCGACCATATTATAGTTACAAGTCCAGTTGTCAGACGTATTATAATAAAATGGTATGATGGAATGTTTTTTTTACTATAGTATTAATGTCATTGAACTTTAGTTTCTAACCAAAGTGTACAAAGTCACTGTACAAAAAATTCAATTTAAAAGACATTACCAGTGTAGTTCCAATTATAGATATGCGGTTAAATAAAAAATCGCTTAAAAAACGTTCCTTTATCAATACGATTATATGTAGATACACGCTTATAACGGCTAAGCGTTATTTACAGCTTATTTATAGACTAGTAATTTACAGCTTTATTAATTAACTCACTGAGTTGTGACTTCGTATTTTTTTTGTCTGTACTCCAATTGGCACCGAATAAACACAACATTTTTGGTGATACACATACGAAGTGGAAACAGCACTCAAATCGTTTGAGCTGTTTCTAGCGCGCTTAAACACACAGCAAACAGATAAAATATGTATCTAGTAGTCATTGTTTTGGGTTCTATTACATCATTTAAAAAAGTAAACTTTTATTATAGATGATGTTATTGCGACACGTTTTAAATAAGAAATTGCTTAATTTTTTTGAAAATAAGTATAACGTATAAACCGTTATAATAAGCTTTTCCATCACTACAATGATTCTCATTTATTTTTAGATACTTACTTGACTTATGATTATGATCTTAATTAGGATAGTACATTTATTGAATTATAATAGAAAACCAAAGATTAATTTGATTAATAAATTTGAAACTAAAAATAAAATTAGAGTTAGAGGTATGTGTGTAAGAATTAACAGCCTGATGGCTTAAATATATTTCTTTACAATTCCTGTATCAGTATTTGACTTCCACGACTTATATTATTGTCATCCTAACTGATATTTATTTTTATTTTATTTATTTATTAAAGGAAAACAAAGGCTAAAGTCATAGTAAGCCACTGACGAGCTTTCACTAGTAACAATAGACTAATTCTTAAAAAATTTACATCACTACGTATAAAAGCATTATAAAGTTAACAGAATATGAAATTAATTAACAAGAGTACAGTAACTGATATTATAAATGTGAAAGTAGGAATGTTTGTTACGCTTTCACGCAAAAACTACTGAACTGATCATCATGAAACTTTTTAATCATGTTCTTGGAGGTATTAGAATGAACATAGGATACTTTTTATTTAAAAAGAAAATTATAAAAAAAACAAATAATAATATATCAACATTTTGCTACTTCAGCGTCATCTAGCAGTCAGTAATGAAGTTATGCGAGGGAAGCGGCGGATAAAAGCTAGTTATAGTATAAAATACACTCTATTCAAGTTATAGTTTTAAGTTAGTAGTTTTTCAGATGTCAAGCAATTACAAATTTAGACTACAAAAGGAATGTTACAATAATATCTTTTTTACACAAATTTGTGTAAAACGTCGACGTGTGTGTCAAATTTCAGTATTAAATTATCATATTTTATTGTTTTATTTTAAACAGCATGGCTGAGTAGCATTTGTTGGATATTCTATGGTAGAGTAGATAGTACCAATCTACTCTACCATAGAATATTCAACAACGTTCATCTCAAGCAGCTGTCGGTTGTTTTCCATTGTTGTAAAATCGATACAATTGCAGCAGTATAGCACAATAGTGGTTCACTGACCTGAAATTTACTTGTTTCAGGATTCATGTCGAGAAGCGAATATGAGGCGACTCGATCTCCGTTTCCGTCAATTATGACTTCGCCTGTAATGCCTGTAAATGAAATGTATAAGAATAGTAATTGTATATTTAAACTTATAACAGCTAATTTATTATTTTGTACACAATACTTGTACATTAGATATAATAATAGTAAGTATTGAACTAATAACTCCTCGCAGATCAGTGGTTTAAAACGCTACTTTATATAATAACTAGTTATATTCCGCTGCTTGCTTGGAATAGTGCTACTATATATAGAACTATAAACTTAGCTTTCAATAGGGAAAGAATTTTTAAAGTCCGTCAAGTATTTTTTTAAATTGCAATGAATAGATTGCATATATACAAAAAATCAAATCTTATTATATATATTACATACGAGAACGAACGTATTATAATTCTATTTAAATTAAAAAAAAAACAAACAGTCGCGAATAATGTAAATGTATGTATGTATATTACATTATAAATGTATTTCTTTGATAAGGAAATCATATCTAAGCCATACTGCAAACTGTAGATCCATTAATTTAAGTAATGTTTTTAAATTAATTATAAAATGCAATATTTCACAACTTACAGAAAAAAAATAAGAAAGAAAGAAAGAAATAAAGAGAATTTATTTAATGAGCACATTATGCAGTAGCGAGTGACAACCCTAACTTAAAATTTATTTAAGTAATTTTGAAGACAAACCTTGAAACGTTCTATTCCACATGTTTTTTATAACTGCAGCTCCATCTAGTGGTCCTGAGGTACTGTCCAATTCTCTTAGAGTATCGTTCAATGCTAATGCATACAGGAGCACAGCGTCATAGAAGGCTCCCACAAAAGTGGATACCACTTCACCCTTTCCGAAGGTGTAATTATATTTCGTAGCCGCCAACTCCTTAACCTGAAGAATAATAGAGGTTGTAAATATATATAACTAACTTAAGGATACAAAGATATGATAACATAACGATGATAATAATCATGGTAACGGTGATGATGATGATAATGATGATTGTGGTGGTGGGGATGATAATGATGTCTACTCTATCATCTATGCCAAAATTTCTCAAAATATCTCTATTAGAAACTTCTTAATTTATTTATATAGGTCTTCAACACACAATTTTCACCAATTTAGTCTTTATACAAAATAATTTACATGGGCACCTCAGTCTTGCCTATAACTACCCCCAAGCGGTTTACTTTGTAAACTGTATTTCGGTTGAAGGGTATAAAATTACAAAGTACACGCATGACAACTCAGTTCTCTGAAATGACAACACAAAGGATAACTCTGTCTTCCCGACTGTATGTAATATTGTTCATGTACCTATATAGGTTACCGTTTACTATCAAAGTGTTTGTTTGTCACCCTAATTTCATAAAAATAACTATTAGAATGTCGAAAATTTACACAGAAAATAAGACAAATTGTCGTCTCTCAAGATATACGCAGACATTCAGTATTTATGGAATAAGAAACTTCAAGATTTAGGTATCCACTTGAGAAGTCGCAACGTAATATGTTACATACATAACTCCAAGTTTATGAACCTTATATGTTTTACAGGTGTAGTGTATACATCTTTATTAAAATCTTTCTAAGAAGCTAAACATTTGTGAGCACACAAATATTTTTTTTATACAGAAGTTGACTTTGTAAAATTCTTAAAAAAACAAATAGAATACAAAGTATTTAATAGAAGGGATTTAAGGTATTATTAATCGTAGAGTTATTACACAGTAAAATGATTCTTAGCAGATGTACTCTAAGAGCTGAGCTGATGCTACAGCGGACTTTATATAAAATTTATTAATATTAATTTACTCGTAAAAGTGCTACTTTTCGTATTACTAATATTGTATGAAATAGTTATTGATCATATTACTACACACTCTAAACAGTGTCCATGCGTGTATTCACAATACACGCATAGACATTGTTTAAAGTGTATTTAAATTTATTGTATATGTGAAATTAAGGAAGGCACAGGATCTTAAAATGTTTTACCCGAAATTGCGTGCATTGCGATATTACAAATAATTAATTAAATATGCAAATCAAATAATGCAAAGCAAAAATTTGTTATAGAGACAAATAATTATATATTGACCAAAATATGATTATCGATGTAAATAATGCAAGAGCTGGTTTAGTATCATGTAGTAATAATGTTTGGGATTTTTGCACATATGTATAGCTAGCAAATATCGGGAACTTGACAATAATAAATAAATATATCGTTCTAATTGGCAACATATGATTAATAATGGGCGTCACACTATAACGTGATATCTATAGTGTTGCTATATAGACGGTTACCACTTTTCATGAGGTGGGCCGAAAACTTGTTTACCATTTCAATTACATATAAAAAAATATTATCACCTGAATTTAACAACTCTAATTACCTATTATAAGGATCGCTATTTCTAAATAAAATCCCTCTTACTTGCTAAAAACGTAGATTTCTATAAAGAAAGTATGTAAGAATACACTAAAAATAGAATATCCGGGTTATAAACGCATCTTTTAATATGTAAAAAACTTTATATCTAGGTTATTATTCTAAATTTGTATATGCTATATTTTTTTAGTATCATAGTTTACTGGACTAAAATGTTTTTCATACATAATACTGAAACCATTCCATAGAGGTCGAATACTAAGGCGTGTTTCTTATATAATTTGGAGTGGAAGTAAGGTTGTTTTTTCTTCCATTTATTCCTGTTTGCAGTCGTTTTTGTATTCAATCCCTTTGAAGCATTCTACACTGTTGTACGAGTAGCTCCAGTATAAGAATAGATACTTCCTACAGTTTGCGCACTACAAAGATACTCTCCAAGAGGACAGAATGGCCGAGTAAAGGGAACATCCGGAGATATAAATTCTATAATTAAAGACTAGACGCCTTAATAAGTTTTTAGCGAGGTACACTTTCCAGAAAGTCGTCTTCTATTTCAGCCTATATCAGCTGGCAAGCAGTTTACCTTGTAACTTGCTTTTCAGTTGAAAGGTCATAATTGATAATATCTTTAATCAAATTAAAAATTCGATTAAATATGCAATGACAATATTAGTTATTGCATGTCAGTGAGAACTAATTATGTCATACAATTTTAAAGCCATAGTACCACATTTAAGGTACACTATAAATAAATAAATACTCCTCACAAAGTTTATACAAATCTATTTCATTTTTTTTATCCCACAATGGGGTTAAACAAGATCAGAAAAATCGTGATATTCCTTCTTCTCCGGTGCTTGGGCAATAGCATTTTGTTTAGCAATTTAAAAAATAAATGAATTTATCTAAATTAGAAAAATTACATAGAGATAAGATAGTTTTGGTCAGCTTACCTGATCAGAAAATTCATGATATTCTTTCTTCTCCGGTGCCGGGCTGGTGACGGTGAGGACCGCGCTGTACGCACGTTTTGCTCTCTCGTTCCTTTCATCTGTATCACCTTCAACTTTCCACGGCTCCTTCGAAGACGCTGATGCTAAACTGAAAAGATAATGTTACATTAATAACATTTTATTGTCAAGACATCTCAATATTAAAGAGTAAACGGTCTACTCACGACACCAATATGATTTAATGATATTGAATTGCGCCGTAGTACATCTTTGTATATTCTTGAATAATAATACACTAACAAAGCAAAAATTTCGTGTTGAGTTCAAAACTAAGTAACATAGTTGTTCATTTGTTTGGTTTAGTATCGATTCTGCTCAAAAAAAAAAGCACAAAAGTTGTATGAATTGATAGACCTCAGAGTATAGTTAAGAGTTTACTATTATACGACTAACTAAAGCAACAATTCAGTGAGAAAAAAGCATTTCCAACTCCTTTCATTTTACACTTTGTCAAAAAAAAAACGTTGTTCTTCTATACAATGATGAATTCAGAAATTAAAGTAAAGTAAAAGATATTATATTATATTTCCCATTAGACTGCAAATGGCAACCGTCATCCATATACACGAACATCATCATTTCACCACCGTGAGAACCCTCATGCGTTTCCATTTCGAAGGATATTATGGCATATAATTTTCACTGAGCAACACTCAAGTTTCTTGCTCGTTCTTTTTGTGATGAATCTGGATTCCGAAAAAGTTGTAGAAATAAAAATAATATTACTACTCTAAAGTGCTTATATGAGTTTGTTTTTTAATTTGATTCCAATATTTGTAGCGCCAACAATTTTCTCAGATTATTAGGCATATATTTACGTACGTATGGTATATATTATTTGCACCGCCAACAACTTATCTCTGCACAACTCATGGTTGACTGGTAGAAAATGCCATTAGGTATTAAGTCCGCCATATGTTCTTTTTACTTGTGTATGACGTGCATTAAATTTATTTAAATAAATAAAAATAAAGTTATATGAATAGATAAAATGCTATAAAAGAAAATACCAGGTAACAAAAATAAATTATCTAAAGGATGGGTGTGATAAAACTACAGGTTTATGCCTTAGTGTCACATGTGAAACCTCTATTTCACACCTTTACATTCACGTCCTATTTATTTTACGGCGTCTAGAAGTCTTACACATATGAAGTAGTGAATAAACTATGCAGACTTGTAAATAAACAAGTGTACATTTTATATTAATCTCTATATCTGTACAATAAGATTTACATTAACACGATTAGATAATTAAGTGATAAATAAAAGATGTTATGAATGTGATAATTATAAGGGTATACAGCATTTACACTAAAAGCATCTTAAAGTATATATTATTATTAGTGTACATTTGGTAGTTAGATACTGCTTTTTACACGTGAGTTCGTCCGCAGACACACAACTCGTATATATCGATTAACAAAGATAGTTGTGTCTGCAGCGGGAACACAATGACTATTTTATTGAAAATCAGAATAATTTTAGTAAATGTGTATATTTTCCAAAAGGGCTCACAGCGAAAAAGTGACAAAAAATAGATATCAAAATAATATAAAATTTACAAAAATAATGGTGTTCAAGCTGCCAGCAAAATAGTAGAAGGTTATTCAAGTGTCATTCTGTTTTAAACTTTTCTCAATTATTTATAATTGTACACATTATATAATCACAATTTTTACCGTAATGTTTTAACTAATATTTAGTCAAATTTTTCGGGTTACGAGTCAAATATCAGGTTAATATATTACTAGCTATTCTTCTTAATTTCTAAATTGCTGAAAACTGCATTAAAGTCCGTTGCGTAGTTAAAAAATCTAAGCAAACGAAGAGCGAGTTCATTTTATACTATGTAAAGATATGTATGTAAAAGATTTTATTCTGCAAGCCACCAATTGTATATCAGTTAAAGAAATAATCAGTAAACAAACAAGATTAATAATTTTATTATATATGTATGTATAAAGAGATTTGTTCTAAGTGACTGATGTCAACACATTCAATAGCACAAACTAAAAAACAAGCGCTAGAACCTTGAAATTTTTAAGAAAGATTTATATATATCGTAGGTTTTCATTAAGAATGAATTTCCTGAATTCTATTGGGATCGGCAATATTGGCTTTCGTGCAAGAAAAATCGCAGTTAACAGCTATTCTATTCTGAAATGTCAAGTATTGATTACGTTGAGTACTATGGCGATTAGTGATAAAACCTCTGACGATCCCATTTGGGATAATGGGTGTAGCATTATATATATACATATATGTATATAATTTAAAATCTGTTAGGACAACAGATGCTACATTCCTGTAGCTAAGTATTTTCGGGTACGAAATTCTGTATAACAATAATTAAAAACAACAATAATGTGTAACAGCGTAAAACTATTCAAATGCTTGGCACTCGGTGTATGTCGACCTAGGGATGTACAAATACAACTAAGTACTCGATGTTTTTTTTCGATACTAAGCACTTTTGACATCGAATAAATCTTACTAGGTATCGAACGAAAAGTACTCGGTATCCAATCAAAATAGATTGATATTACGCGACGCTAAACTGCAATATGAAAAGAAATAAACATTATAAACTAATAAACCAATTAACGAAAAATGGCAATATGGTTAATTTATATGCGGTCGTAGTGAGAGCGAGAGGAAAACCTGCAAGATCTCTCTACAATCTTCTCAAAGATCTTGATATGTCTAGAAATGTAAGTGTTATACAGGAACGTGTATCTACAACAATACTAGCAGGCTCCTACCAAATTTAGCAGGGCAGGGAAAGAAATACGAGTGGTGAAGGTGAGTATTCACGTACGTCGGAAAAAGAGCCTATTAAACCTACACCCGGATCACAAGTTCCATAAACTGCTCGCAGTTTCCCTCTCTGTTATAGGATGGACACGTTTCGTCTCACTCTTCAAGTATTGATACTATTTAAAGAATTAAACGATTATTACCGAGAAGTGATTAGATTACTGCTTACATGAGTATCGATACTTTGTAAATATCGGAACAACCCTATGACGACCCACGTACATCCAAACCGTAATAAAACAATAAGAACAAGTTATAAAACTACGTGACCGTTATGAATATACACGTTGGAGAATTATTGTAAAACTATTTCTGAATATGTCCTTACGTTACATTACAAACGAATTCATTTATATAAAATGACAGTGAAATGTGAATATGAAATGTATTCTTATGAATTCGCGGTATTTGCTAGTTTACATTCGCATAAAATCTTAAAAATGTAAAATTGTAAAATGTAGCGTTGAAAATTGGAAACAGCAACATGCAAGTTTTAGCACATTCTTATTGAATTGAATTTTACATTTCGAATTCGATGAAATAAAAACACGACTATTCAAAAGTGCACAGGTGGTCACACATCTTTACATCCGACGGTCACGGGTTCGATTCTTCCAACGCTACAAACATCTGTATTCAGGAATATGATTGCTTGTATAGGTCTGGGTATTTTTTATGTATAATATGTATGTATATAAAAATGTGAAACTGTGTGTTTATACCAGTTGTCTTGTACCCATAACACAAGCTCTGCTTAGCTTGGGGCTAGATGGCGCTGTATGAATTGTCCTAAGATATTATTATTGTTATTTTTATTTCATTGTTATCTTTCCATATAATTTTTTATGGATCCTATGGATGGATTATGGATAGTCTTGAGACTAGCCATAAAAGATTCGTATAATGACATGTATGGAAATGACATCATCACGTCATATATTCGATGTAGTTTCATCAGAATCATAATGGTTTCCAATAGGATATCAGAGCACCATATTAGTAGTTCCCCAGTTCTTCCTACTTAACAATCCTTTAATCATCTTACCTCACGTTCAGAGGTATATTTACATAAATTTCTAAAAATAGACTACTCCGAACATTACAAGAAAAATGTTAAGGAAAATATAGTTTAGTCATCTTTAGAATTTCGCAAAACCCTATTCTCGTAACAAAGACACAACGTCAGTCTGTCACAAGCCTTTAGCGATAAACGACATAAGACTGGCACTTGAAATATATAATTACATACATATATACATCGGTAGTTCAAATCTGAAGATAAAATATTGTACACAATGAAGTTTTTTATTATAAAATATAACAAACTTATTTTTTGACGACTTCTAGGATTAATACTCGTAGAAAATTTCTATTTGTTCCTTAGATACTAATACCACAGATAACATAATATTACATACTAACATAATGTATATAATACATACCTAAAAAATGTATTGAATGTTTGTTCATTATCTAGAATCTTATACGCAATGCTTACTTTAATAAACAACACAGAATGTATCATAGACGTATTTTGGATAGAAAAATTATTATTAATAATAATAATAATCATAAAAGCATATAAAAAGCGACAATAGTGTAAATAATAATAATAACCCTGGACAATTAACACAACGACATGTAGTTTCACGGTAAGCAGAGCTTGTATTATGGGTACTATACAACTGATATAATTACATAAAGTACTCAGATATTTTTGTGTAAATACATACATAATATACATAGAAAACAGCCATCAGATACAAACAATCATACTTATGAATACAAATATTTGCACCGTGCGAGGAATCGAACCCGCGACCATCAGAAGTAAAGCGGTGTACTAAACCGAGATACCACCGAGGCTGAATTAAAGAATGATATGGTTTCTTTGTCAACCTCAGACTAAAGTCACAGAGACGGAAACTATGTACTAAATCACCAAGGAAAATAGCGGAAAATACTGTGGAATGTAGATATTAAAGCATGGTTCGTTTTTAAACTTCAGTTTCCTAAAACCCGCCACAGAATCTTCGCTGTGTGATCCGTAAAATATAAAGAGAACTCACAAGTGTTGCTCATGACATTCAAGATTAACTCCATCGTAAAATTGTAATGTGTGTATTAACATGCCAGTGTTATGTTTCGTTATAATCTTCTTGGTTATTAATAGAGATTTGTTTAGGTTGAAGATTGTTGCATACAAAAATAATTTGCATCCTTGCAGGTTACGAGAGATAAAGAAAAAATATTGTTTGAGTCAAGATACAATACTACAATATTTCAGATTAAATTAATACATTATGTATGTTTCTTATCACCAGAAGGTAAGTTAACTTTGTGGGGTGCGCCTAGTGTATAGGCACAATACATTTATTTATTAATTAACAGAAGGAGGTCAACAATATGGAAAAATGAAAAGTCCAGAATGATATGGTTTAAACACGGGCACATAAGCAGATGTAGAGAACAAAGAGCTTACTATCGAAAGACGTGAGCTTCGCGTAACCTTTGAAACCGACTAACTTGCTGTCGCTGCGGTCATATTGTTTACATTTGAAATTTGATTTGATTACATTAATCTGCCTTTGGCCGGCAGGACTCCAGCGCAATGCAATGCGCTAGAGAACTATGCTATAAAATATATTATTGCTATTAAAAGTATTTTATGTAGTGTAATATATATGTATGTTTAATACTATATTAATAAGTGTATAAGTATGCCACAATATTAATATATGACAAAATCATTGGTGTCGGAGCCTTTACGGTGGCGATCTTAGAAGCATTCTTAGAGATTTATTTATTTACATATCTTTATTGATCTATGTTTTTTACGTAAAACTATAGGCGAACAATATGCTAGAAATATTCTCTACCTACTACTTAATCTTTGAAATGATATAAATTTTTTAGTTATGAGAACCATAATAGCCAAACAAATTATTTGGAATTTTTATTCTCGTAAACTTTTCTACTCGAGTAAATAAATAAATAAAAAGAGTGTTTTTTATTTATTTTATTGATTACTTTTAATCCGAATAAATTAATTACAATATTAACCACATTTATCAATAGTAATATAAAAATATCACGTTGCTAGTGTGAAACTCAAGAGTACAAAAATATTTAAAATTTCCCAAAGAAATGGAATTGGTTTCAATAGTTGGCAAGTTAATGAATTTAGGAACTCTTTCTTAAGCTAGTAAGTACATTAATAATGTTATTATACAAGCAAAATGCCTACTCCGCCTCCTCAAGGCAACTCCTTTCTTCTCCGAGTAAATTTCAATATTGAATTATCCAATTATCTATCTTAATATAGTCGATGTTTGTATACAATACCCAATTACTGGTGTAATTAACTATTAGACGCCTATCTATACTAATATAGCTGAATAATTTATTTGTTTGTTTTGAACATATTAATCTTTGGAACTACTAGTCGAATTAGTCATACATTGTCATCAATATATATATATATATATATATATATATATATATATATATATATATATACATATATATATACTGAACTGGGTAGTAGGGAAAAAATATAAATTACAAAACATTACGTTAATAAGCGGCTAAAATGTGAAAATTTGAATTCAAGCTAAGCATACCTTGTGTTATGAGTACTATGTAGAGACTTTATAGAAATACTTAAGTACTTATTTTGTAAAGACAAATCCAAAAATCCATTACAAAAAAAAACATGGAAGATACTCGGACAAATTCAACAATATAATATTGTATCGTGCGAACAATAGAATCCGCGACCATTACCAAAACCATTTTAATAAATTAAACGAAGTCGCAGTTAATAGTTAGTATAAATAACTTCATTTTCTGGTACAAACTAATCGTAAGCAATTTCAGTTACTTTTATGAGTTGTTGATTCTATTAATCTTTTCAAAGAGCCTATTCAAATTGTTTCAAGTAATTTAAAAACGCTTGTTAAAAAGTTTCACAACGAACCCTCATCCCAATCTTGTTAAAGTATGATGTGTCTTTGATCAGACAGAACGCTATCCACGTTGTTACTTTCTATAGGTACATATATACCTATAGAAATATATATATATATGCCCATTGCAGTTCACTGCTAAACATAGGCCTCTCCCAAGGTACGACACTGGGTATGATCATCAGCCCTTCTTGTCCAATCTTTACCTTCAACCCTACATAAGTCTTCTCTCCACCTAGTTTCATTTGCCATAATATAAGTTATATATTGTTACGTTTATTTAAATGCAACATGACAAGTCTACCGCTGTCTCCTGGCTTTTATGAGTTTCCACCGCTGCAGTATATGAATTAACACAAAGTTTTATGTCGCACAGATTTCAACGATGAGTGAAAATGAACCTTTCAGTCTAGCTCTGGGCAGTAACAAGTTTAAGTAAACCACTAAGCCACAACAGTCTCTTTACTTCCATAAGTATCTCTAGAAGTATTTAACTCTCATTAAGTTTTACAAGTAATATGCTATATGCAAAATGTTAATACTAAAGAGAAATATTATATTATACTTATTTATATATTATAATCGACTTTATCGCATTTTGAGATAAAAATAGCGTATGTATATCCTCGCGCTATGTTGAATTTTCACGTCAAATTTCATTAATATCTGCTCAATTTATCGTGAGAAGGTAACAAATAGACACAATTTCAATTTTACAACATTTGATCATATGTTAATATTTGGACAATTTCCACTGAGCCATTTAATTCTATTTGTAAATATATATACACTCAAAACACCCAGAAGTATCATGATATAATCGAACCCATTACCATCAGACGTAAGATGGTGTGCTAAATAGTATAGAATTTTTAAACCACTACCAATTTCAGCAACCCTATGAACATCCAGAGTCGACTTGGATTTACTTATCTGTAACAATTCATTTAATTTGACCTGTCTGAGTCTACTGTTTGTTTGGGGCCAATAAGCTCTAGAGACTGCATTGTATTTGTCATCTTGAATTATGAACTAAATATGTAACTTTGTATTATATACATAAAGGTAAGAAACACATAGAATTCTTTTGCGTTTATAATTATATGAATTTAATTAATTATAAATTACCCTATATTTGCTAGAACTCGAGGCACATAAAATTCTAAAACTGTATAATTTTGGCAACCCTATTCAAGATTTACCGTTATCTGTAACTATTCATTCGATTTGGACCTATCTACTGTTTGTTTGGGCACAATAAGCTCCAGGGACTACATTGTATTGGATATCTCGAATTCTGAATTAAATATGTAAGTGTGTATGTCAGAACTACAGATTTCAAATGTAATTTAGTTTAAGGTAATTTATACTAATATATAGTTAAATTATACATAGAAAATACTCAGATCGATACAAACAATCATACTCAAGAATACAAATGTTTGTACCATGCGAGGAATCGAACTCGCGACCACCGGAAGAAAAGCGGTGTGCTAAACCGCTAGACCACCGAGACCGTAATATGTATATAATAAAACCAATTGGTTTGCCCTGACTAACAACCAAAACTACTAAGACTAAAATAAAATACTTGAAATCGTTTATTCCCATAGGACTTGTCGGCCTCTTTTTCACATATATTTTTATCCCTATCCTGACTTCTATCTCCTAGAAAGGGATCTAGGGCACTCCACACCACTGCTCCAAATTAGTCCCTAAATTAGGGATGGATGTAGGCTGTCTTATTTGAATGGATATTATAAGGCCTTTGAATAAAATGGTAGTTATGAATATAGGTTTTTATACTTACTTTGAGAAAAGTTCTATGTTGAAAAACACGTACTCCCCGGATGAAACCATGTTGAGATCATCAGCAGCTAGCATTATCTCCCTGACTGTGCTCGGATTCGCGCAGACCACGACAACTGTAACAAAAATAATTTAATTAATTTTTATAATAACTAGTGGTTGCCTACTGGTCAAAATTCAATTATATTTAATTTATATTATGGTTTTATTGTCAAAGATTATACTTCTAAGTAAATATGTGTCGTCAAATACATGGTAATGTGTGTTATGTGCTTTTTAATAATTTAATGTATTTATGTATAACCTTTTAAAAAATCGTTAGCAGTCTGCACTCCTTCTCCATATAAACTATAAGTGTGCGAAATTTCAAATACTCCTCTATCCGTGCAATTTACATAAAAAGCGGTAGACATTTTTTTCAGGTATCAAGGTTTAATACAAAGATAATATAACCCAGAACTAACTTTACACGGCACCATGTAGTTTCAAACTAAACAAAATTTGTACTGTTGATATTAAACAATTATAAAAATACTTGAGTATATTTTTTTACAAATACATAACACAATACACACAGAATACACACAGAATACACGCAAACAAATATAAACAGTTATACTCACGGATTGTCGAATTCGATAAAATTACTGCTTGAAATTGTTTTAAGGTTAAAAATAAAAATAAGAAAGCAATATTTAATTTCTTGTAATTTATATTACTTTTTATTTATTAATATAATAGAAAATAATTATAATTGAAGTACTTCTTTCCTGAAAATGTATTTCCTGAGTTAAAATTACAATACACTACCTAAAACATACTAAATTCAAACAAAAGTACAGCACTTGCGAGTATACTTTGTTGATATTTTATTCATAGTATTATACAACATGAATAAAAAATAAACATCTATTAAACAACCTACAATGTATCATCTAAGGTAAGGTTGTAAGGTAAATTGGTCGGAATATTTACATAGGTAAATCATTCTTCAGGGGTGAAACGAGAATGGCGAAATCTGACGAGGGTTGTTCATTTAAAAATGTCCCTTCAACATTTTGGACGGCGTTAAACGTAATGTCTTGTGAAATGGTATTATTCAAATAAGCTTGATTCCAGCCAAGTTCTGACAGATATTATATTGACTTGACAATCTTCAGATTTTTATGTAAGAATGGTTCGCTGATATCGTATCCCTTAAGGGAATAATACTGTAATGTTTCGTGTAACTGAACTGCTGAAATCTTTAATGATACTGGTATTACTTAGATGATTTTTAAGAGACTATTTTTTTTTAATAAATTTATTATTTGATTTTTTTTTTTAATTGAGTAATTAAATTAATCGAAAGTGACAACCGTTGTCTATATACATAAACACCGTAGAAATCTCGTCATCATGTGACGGTAGCGATACCTATATTATTAATTCGTTGACTCTGTGATTTCACCATGTTTCATCCTTCGCCACAAAACTTAGTTTACAAAGAAAGCTTCTTGAGGTCCATACAGACGACTTTGTACAAATTCTATGTCCGAGAAAAAATTGATGGTAATTGGTAATGAAGAAAGTACATATTATATCTCAAGTATACATTAATTTCCTTTTTTACTGTATATATCGTAATAAACTGATAAATTTATATGATTAACTAATAATGAAATGAATCGGTTTAATTGATTTGTTGTCAGTGTTTCCATCGACGAACAGGAAATGTGGCAGAAAAATATAACTCGCTTTACATACCAATCAGTCAATTTATCCAGCCCAATTTGGAGACGTAAAAACTGGTAAATAGATATAGTGAAAAAGAATTGTCAATCACACTAGATAGTGTAATATAGCTATGTATAATATATCTATATTTTTAACATAAACATAAATTTATAACAATATCTAAAACTTCGTCTTGAATGTAAACAGAAATATGAAAGCAAAATGTTTGTAATAGCGTTTGCGTTCCTTTTTCGACAACTTCCAAAAACTGAAAAGTTTGCTCATTGTGAAAATTTATATTCATGGAATAAAGTGCGTAATTCGCACACCATTATTGTATAAAACGTTTTTGATAAGAGCAATTAAAATTTCGTTTTTAGTATGCAGATTAATAAATATGTTCAGATTAGTCAATATGAATTTTTATATTATGTAGTTTACAGGTTATGTCCCGTTATGTGGGAAGAAAATATATACATATTGAATATTGTTACATATATTCAACAACGTCATTTAATCCCTAGCCATCAAAGCGTAGCTTTTGTTATAGGTATTAGACAACGGATATAACTTACTACTTTATTTCACAAATACTTAAATAGTATATGAAGTTAAGAATAGTCGTTAGTTTACATTATTATTATAAATAATAAAAGTTTGGTACTTATGTAGTATGTTCGGTTCGGTTCTGTTCGATGTTCGGTTGTAATGAATAAACTAAATAAATTACTTGACCGATTACTATCTATCACTTTGTTAATATAATTAATAAGTGCCGATTAATTATATTAATAAAGTGAATAATAGTAATCGGTAAAGCATTTTATACATTACATATGTTATGGTAATTACGATACTTATCTTTCTTGATTTCTCGACTAGATTAAACTAGCTGTGGTAACAAGTTAACAGTCAATTTGTCGTGTGAAACCTGATATTATTAATATGTACCTAAAATGGTTGGTTCAATTATAGAAAGCTATATTATATATTTATTTAAGTACGTATGTATTAGGATATATATGAATTTTCATTATAATTGTACCTACTTCGTTTTATTATTTTTATTTCATGTTATTTTTATAATCACTGTTTCCAATATGGTAGACTGAGAGAAAATGTCTTATGGCGTTAAGTCCGCAATATGCATCTTTGTTTTTGTATTTGTGCATTAATATCGAAGTAGAATTGAAGGCGAGCTAACGTACTTCCATGGTAGTTTCTAAATTTTACGATATATAATTAAAATAAACACAGCGCGTATTATGTCCATAAAAATCAGTAACACACTTAAAATTCTGAAAAAGTCACACATAGAAGCCTATTGAATACATAAATAACTGTAAGTAATTAAAATCTATCAAATATGACACAAAATATGTCTTGATTATTTCACATTTCACATTTTTACTAATTATCAAATAATACAACTAAAAATATGAATTTGTCTCAAAATATGTCTGTATAGGTTCATATTTTTATTTGAGACTAATCTTATGAATAACGAAGATTTATCTAAATAAATCTTAGTTATTCATATAAACCATAGTAGTATAGCTGACAGAAGACCTAACTGATAATAAATAGCAACCAAAATAAATATATATATATATACACCTAAATTATTTAACTATATCTGTAAACGTGTGTGGTGGTAGTCGCATGAAAAATTAATCAGAAAGAAAAATTGCCTCTCAAAGTTTGTTAGTTTTAGACTGATTGGACATCTACTTGGTGTAGTAAACTACTGAGTCACGACGGTCTCCTACATAAGCACTTAAGGATAAAAATAAAGGACAGTTCATAACAAGTACACAAGTGAAGTACACAAGAGGGCCTGAAATGTATGCTACTTAAACATAACTCGCTGTAAAACATAATGGGGTCTTCCATTATCAGAATCTACTAGGTAATGTAATACTTTAACATATTCACAATAAAACTTTGATATTATTGTATGTCATCGTTTATTTATTAATTCAATAAACGATGACATTATGGTTTTAAATTCTATATTTATTTCACTTGGATAACTGAACAAATAAACGAAAGTGATAGTTTCTATACAATAATGATTTCGTTTAATGTAATACCAGCCTGACATATGTGAGGCATAATCTAATACAAAAAAAACAATCTACATAAAAAAAATATAGGTCATAATAATAATTCAGCACATTATTTACACAGCACTATCTCGTCCCATGCTAAGCAAAGCTTGTGTTATGGATACTAGAGAACTGATAATACGTAGGTACGTACGATACGTAGATATTATTTTTGTAAATACATAATATACATAAAAAGTACCCAAACAATACATACAATCATAGTTTAGGATAGGAGCGACTTCCGATGGTCATGGATTCAATTCCTCGCATGATGCAAACATTTGTACTTATATGTATGATTGTTTGTATTGGTCTGTGTATTTTGTATGTATATTAGGTATGAATTTGCTAAGACAAATGTATCAATGTAATTATATCAGTTCTCTAGTAGCTACCCGTCATATAGGCTCTGCTCAGTGTGGATCTGGACTGAGTTGTGTGAATTCTGTGGGTTAAAAAAAACTGTCGTACAAATCTTCCGTTTATACAATATACAAATGTAAACGGCCCTAATAAAGTTATAAACAATATCGTATAGTAACCGTAGGTACAACTAGTCATCATTACCTGACAATATTTATTTATAAACTTCAATCTAACAGAAATTACATACTAGGCATTCATATACGTACTTGTTATCCGTAATTTAGGTATTGTAATGCTTCATTATACCATTGCTGTCGCGGTACGTCATAATAATATCACAGACTTAGAAATAAACTAAGTACATATTTCTGATGTGAAACTGAAATACTGACCTTGTTATTAAAGTTATTTATAGATATCAGACTCCTTCCTGCACTAAAACATCGTATACCTACAATGACATTTAATTACAATCGTCCAAACTTTATTTCTCCATAAAATTTTATTCTAAACACGATCAACATTTTTTGGAGTCAATTAGAAGGTGTCTAATTTATGACTTCTAATTCGCACGCAAAATAAATGCCGTTACAAAACCTATTTATAGCTAAATCTGTAATTCATGCCAACCAATTAGTACTTAGAAGCATAATAATCAATATACTCGTCTGTAATAAAATTAGGATTGCTTAATTAATAAATAACAGTGGACACACCCCACTCAATTATTTAAATCTATATTTACATCTACATCACCTGAACTAATATCCAAAATTAATATTGCGAGAATAAAGCTTTTAATAACAGCTCTAGCATCAAAGCTAGAGTAAGTAAAAATAGGTATTGAAATACAAATTCTATTAGCAATAGTATGACCCGCAACCCACTGACCCGGGAGTAGAAGCCCCCGGAGACGAACCCAAGCCATAGTGGCTCTCCCCGAAGATCCAACCTCAACCCCTGTAAGGGGGTGAAGAAGCCTTGGAGTGAATTATTATTACACGTACTCTTAAATATACATATTTACATAAAGTCATATTTGTTTGTAAGTACCAAACCTAACCTAGATAACTGTAAACCCTACATGAGTTAGATCGTACTAGAAATTATACAAGTAAGAATGAAATTCAAACACAAATAATTTGCATGACTCAACCTTGCTCTATAAAAGACATCAGAATATAAGGAAAATATACAACACAATCAGTTTTAAAAACTTCGTAATAAACGAAATCGTAGTGAAAAAAGTGTGTTTGGAATTTAAGAACGTTTAAATGTATTCATATGAATTAACAGCACTTTTCACTTCAGTTAGACATTTTATTAAAAGTCTCATATAAAATCTATCATTTGTACATATGTAATTCGAGGGGCATATTAAATAAATATAAGTATTCACGCAAAATGTTTATCAAAATCTCTTTATTTCATACTCACTTCTAGTGTTTAAGGATAATTTTTGAAGAAGCTGCTTCAGTTTGGTCGTAGTGGTGTTCGTTTCGTCGAAAGGAATATTGGGAATGGTGGCTCCTGATCCTTTGGTCTTTAGAACTGTGAATACAGCGCTAAGGGTTAAGAAGCAAGGGCTGTTGCCTTGTCCAGTGGTAGGGTCGTTATTGTGGTACAGCATGCCGAGCTTGCGCCAGTTGAATTCCTGTAACAATGTTACAAACGTTAGTTAGAACTCGTTTGAGATTTTGTTAAACAATCCAACATCAATAAACAGACAGTGCTAATCTATAGTAGAAAAATAGAAAGTTACACGCTATTTTTTTTAAGTTTCCAGTGATACAAGATACTATATCAAAATTCAAAAACCGTTTCATAAGATCAGTTTGTCGGCAAACTCAAGACATGAAATATGACATATATGTATATGCCAGACTATACAACATTATCCTTAGACGTTGCCACTTTAGAAACTAAGATTATACACCTCTTGTCTCAGAAAATGCTCTTGTACATTTTGTTGAAAGACATGATGTGTCCCATGGGTGATATTAAGAACATAGTTAGAGGTTACTGCAGTTGTACTTAAATCTGATATAATATTGTTTACATTTATTGTTACAATACATTTACATCCACAATTTAGTTGTAAACAACACTGTTATTAAAGACAGCATCACAGCAAAACAATTAACGACATAAAAACCTAATAATATAATATTTTAATTGTAAATATAAAAAGAAGCAAAGAAAGCATAGTTAATATGAAAAAAAAAGAGAAGAAATAACAACAATGACAGTGATTGCAAAAGAATATATTAAAACAAACATAAATCTCTAATTAAAATAAAATATTGTATTTTGATACCAAGCTCTCCAGAATTTGTTAGTAAATTACATCTTATAAACTACATTCATTAGTCTGAAAACTGGTGACCATGCAAATGGTATAAGAGAGAATACCAAATGTCGCTTCCTTTTTTACTATTTTAATAAACAAATCTACAGGATTATTATTCTTCTTGAAACACTTAGGCTTTACAATTATATGGTGAACCTTTAATATTTTATATAATTTAAAGATGCTTTAGAAATTTTTTACACCACAATGTCTACAAATAAGTTTTACCTTTAGCAAAGACATCTCCATTTCATTCTTTAAAATAAAAGTATTATAAATATACTAACAAATTTTATGAATGGCAACATCAAGTCAACTAAAGGGACCAAAAACTTTTAATAATGAGACTATAGTGATAGTAATGTATATTTCTAAATAAAACAGAGCTGGCCTATTGACTAAAGCCCATTTATTTTGGCCTTTAGTCAATAGGGCAATAGTAGTAAAAATAACTTGAAAAGCAATACTATCAATGCTATATCTGAAATAGGTTTCATTTGCAATATCGCGGTGTATGATGATACTCGTAAATATCTCAGTTACGATGCTATACCATTACATTTAACTGTACATATCTATACCAGAACAAAATCGAAATTATCGTGTTATAAACGTATTTCATAAATGAATCTCGAAGTGGGAGCAATTTAGAATATCGAATTCGATTTAATTTTCTTAATCGGTGTTCCTAGAATCTAGAGGGGAATATTAGTCAACTATATTATAATAGTTAAGCCACTTGGTCAATACGGTAACCAAGTGGCTTGAGATTTCATCAAGAATTTCTTCTCTTGTACTATCGTCTTATATTTTTTTCATAGTTGTCTGTTAGGATATCCGAAATATACAAAAGATATACGAATGATACAACATGAAGTGTTATTATAAACAAATTTATAAATATATTTGATTACAGTTAGTTATTTTCCATATCATATTACTGGATTATTTCATTATGAATACAGGATGAGTTGCATGATAACTTAGTCATCAGTAATGGCAACGCGTGAATGGTATCACGGATGTCACCTGATAACGTGATATCCGTATTGCTATTCATGTACATACCGCTTACAATCAAGCGAACCATCGGTTTGTTTTACATCTCAATGATACAAAAAAATACAATAATGACTAAAATATATAAACAACTAAAATATATAAATGTTCTGTTAATGTTCAGAAACAGAAAAGTGATTCAAACAATATATCAGCACTAGCAATTAAGGTACGAACATATCACTTGATACAATGACCTAAAGATCATCACGATATAAAAACATGTTGTTATAAAGATTATATGCCCGTAATTATTCTATCAATTTATTTTATATTCAGACATATACCACTAATTGTAGAGGTACATAATTGCGAGGGTCGAATCGAAATGTATTATAATTTATATAAAAACTAATATTAAATAATTAAAAGTCTATTTCGAAATTAATTTTGTTCTACAGGAAAACCTTTTTATCAAATTATTTTCCTTACCTCATTGTAATATTTTTGTTAAATTCGTCGTCGTCATTATAATTATTATTTAATGAAATAAATATAACGTAATCTTTAACCAACGTTCTTACATTTGAAGTCAATAAAATGTTCATTTCAATTTAATAAATAATTTGTTAAAAGTCGTAAACAAAAAGTACAATTTTTTCATTCTCTAGGTAAGTGGAACCAAGGATAAAATAAAATTTAAAATGTTGTTATTTGATTACATTCTTTTGGCAAAAATGTCACGCATTAATGATGCAAAACACACTTCATTACATAGTATAAAATAAAGTTGCAGTCGCTGTCTGTCCGTCCCTTTTAAATCTTTTAAATACACAACGGATTTTGATGCGATTTTTTATAATAGATAGAAAGATTCAAGTGGATGGTTTATTTGTATAATACATGTACACCCGTGCGAAACCGGTATGGGTAGTTAGTTATTTATATAACAACGATGAATGCGTAGTGATCAAATATGTACTGAATGAATTATTTCCTATTAATTCAAATTCATATCTGTTTAAAGTCACGCACACCAAATGGTTGAACTAGAGCGTTTATCAGTCAAATCACGTTTCGCATCAAGGCGCATTATTAGTGATGAGGACCCTCAGAAGTTTTCGGCCTATCACGAAGAAGGTAACGGCAGTAATGGCGATTGTGTTAAGTTTACACGATCGTTTATTATATTTACATTTTCTAACAATTCATTAAAATGTAATAATGTTTCATTAGATTCTTTTGATTCTTGAATAGAATATAAACTACGTTGCGCAATTCTTGAATATATTATACATTTGACAGCCATTCTGAAATTGCTATACGCATTATAATTGCGTAGTTAGGTATTTAAAGAGAAGTTAATGTTATAATTATAGCTTCCTTATGTACATATACGTACAAAGTTGACAAAAATATATTAAATTAGTCATAATAATGGAATGGATTACTATGTAAGATTAAAAATATAAGTATGTAGGTAAACTTAAGAAGAGGCCAGTTGCAACTACTCATAAGTTATTACAAAATGCTATTTAAAGATAGATTCATATTTCTGTGGTATTTTATGTCTTTATGACTACTACGTAATATCTTCGTTAAAAGTAAATTAATTGTGATAATAATTTTTCCTAAAGACATTTTTTACTTATTTGTTGTTCACGTATAAATTTTGTTTTTTGTGGAACAAATAGTACTTGTTATATTATAAAGAAGTTTTTTTTAATTATAAGAGATCACATATACCGCAAATATTTTTGTTAAATTATTTGTATAACGTAAAAGGATATTTGATGGTTTATAAAAGTATACATATCATAAGAAACTTTTGCATAAACGTTGAATTAGCATACAATTTATCTTATACCATTATTATTACTTACATTACATTAGTATTTTGTATAATAACTATCTATAACGTCGCTAAAAATTAACGTCGTTATGAGAACGTCCTTCTTTTGGTAATTGATTGACTTATTTAATGTTAATAATACTATGTAATATTATATTATCTGTGATAATACTAAACTACCACATGTATAATAAAAAAATACATAAAATTATACTATATTTCAATACTAAATATATGATCTTAAACACAGTTTTCGACCACTACAAAGTTATTTTCTCTTCCAAGTCTAATTTAAAATCACAATGAAAATAAATTGTCTTTGTGACCACTAAATTTCTTTTACATAATGTGTTGAATAGTAAACTAGTACCGCATCTGATTTGCACTAAAAGTTATTACATCAAGTAAAGACCGATGAGTGCGACGTCCAAAGAATTTTTATTTAATTTAACATTCTTCCCATCAGTTCACTCCCATTACAAATTCAGATCTCATAAACTGTTATCTCTAAATCACTTTTTATTTCATACTTAAAACTCTATTATTTGAATGTAATTGAAAACGTCAAACGAAATTGAGGTTATTGAAAAGGCACAGGAGAAAATAAAACCAAAACAATTTTAAGCGAATAACAATACAACTGCTGACGCAAACAAGTTACAGAAAAAATAAGGTACTACGGAACAACATTTAACACACGGAAATGATTACCTCAAAGACTTTCCGGATTGCAACACCAGCTTGTATGTAGCTTCCCATCATTCTAGTTAAGGTCATGTAACTAGGGTGTTTATAGCTAAAGGCCTCTGCTTGTGCTCCAGCTGTAAGTACTGGTATACCCCATGGACCGGCATATCTAGCTACAGGTGCTATGACGTACTCGCACCCCGGTCCAATGAATGCATCTGAAAATGATATAAGACTTACCCAGTGTTGCGATTTTTCTTTCAAAACTAATTCACTGTATATATTGAACTGATAATGTAAAGTAACATGAAATAAACATAAGTCAAAAATTTTCCATTCGCCGAAATATTTTTGTTATATAACGAATAGATTCAAACATAAGTCTCTTTAAAGATTTCATGGCTGGCTTATTTAAGTTTAAACTAACTATTATATTAGTATGCTCTATTGTTACGTTTGCTGATAACACAAAATATATATATTTATGGTAATTAATCGTGTTAAGTCAATTTTTTCGTAGGTTCTAAAATTTTTGCCGTCTTAATTACATATAATTCGTCTGTATTGTTTAGAACAAAGATTTATAAGTATTGACAAATGAATATTACATGCATATAACGAATAGATAAATTAATCATTAATAAATATATAACTTAATTAAAACTCACCAGCAGATTCACTTATGTAGAATTCGAAAGCAGCTAAAGGTCCTTCTACTGAAGAACAGCCCGTGTCTCTGTAATCTACTAAAATTTTCCATCCAGGTAATGGCCCATCAGGCCTAGTTACTGCCGGTACGGCCATTTCTAAGATAGGCAATACTTTCACTAATGAAAATACTTGTCTAGGGTCAGCTGGTAGTAATACACCTAATTTCACAATCTTTTTATGAAACTGATGCCTCTCAGGTCTCAAATTGAAATTAGTTTTCTTGACGTGATATGGATATGACGACAAATTGTGTGGAAATCCGACGGCATGTAAATCGTCATAGAAAAACTTTGGCTTGTGAAAATTATATGGAAACTCAGTGACATTAATAGATTCATCTTTAGTTTTATAATAATCATCATAGTATTTACTAAGATCTTGAGTTTCTGAGCCAGGGTATTTATCGTCTTTTTCCTGAGTATCTGCATCTCTTTGAGGTGTGCGTCCTTTTCTAAGATTTTTGCTATGCAAATCATGTTTATGCCCTCGTTTTATTTTTTCTCTAGAAAACGAATGTGCGTCATATGTCACTTGACTATCTTTATATGTCTTTATATTTACATCACTAACACTAAAATCACACGTAATTATCACATTTATAACACATACATAGAAAACAAGGAATGAAAATAATATTGGAATTTTGACTAATTTTGGTGGTTTCTTGCTTCTTTTAATCTGCTGTGTTTCAACATTGTCCACAATCTCACATTGTTCTCGGAGAGCATCTTGTGTATTTTTAATATTGTTAGCTTGTATTGTGTTGGAGTTTGAAATAATTTCTTCATCGTCAAACGTCTTTGTTGAATTTGTTGGGAGGATCGTGTGCACGATCTCCTCTACCATTTTATCTTACACGAGTTTCATTTTAGTAGGTTTCCACTACACCGCGTTTGTGATCTATTTAATCAATATATTTATATCGGTTTTTTATTTATATTATGTACGAATAATGAAACGTAAATATACTGTGTACCATATATATAGAATATAACTGGTTTATAGCCATATAATTGTGTCTAAGGTCAAAAATCAATATAAAATATTCTTAGAAGCATTTGTTTAAGATTGGTAATACCAAATAACCAATCCTAAAAATAAATTATTTCAAGGAAACTGTAATAGAAGAATCCTTTAGTTAGTTCTCATAAGAACAATTTAATTATAATTAAGCTATAATTATAATTAAATTGTTATTATGAGAACTATTATTGTAATTTTCCTTTAACAGGTTATCAATGAATTAAGATGAAGGAATATTTTTTTTATTCTAGTGTTAAAACCCAAAATATTCACGAATTCACAAAAACTTAAAAAATATTTCTGACACTAGTTATAGGATTATAAAGTTTGTTTTGTTACGCAAAATAAGTGATGTCACGTTAGTGAGAGGGAGTCTCACAAACATGAGCAGCTCGGACAAGGTCAAGGGGAGACTATATAAAATAATATGTAACACTAAATTTTACATTACATATACCGTAAGACCGTAAAGCTTACCTAAAATGCTGTTGGATATTAGGTACAGAAATAGTTGGAACAGAGGTATCCGCGTAACAATTTTGTACAGTCTTCCTCAGTAATTAAAATACGTAAGTACTGCAAAAACTGTACGTAATATTTGAACAAAATTCCAGGAATCACTACCTAAAAATGACCCAAATGGCCCATTGTCAGACCTTTTCGTAACGTTCCATATTTGAAACGTGACATAACATACGGAAGTTAATTCCATTGAACTTGAACTTAGTGGCCTTAATTTAGTTAAGGCATGTGTTTACGATGTTGGAAATAGAGTTATACCTATACAATTTGCAATTAAAAAAAGACTCTATCGTTATAAAAGTATGTATGAAAGTCGCTCTGCAGCAATGTTGTTATTATTAGTCGTAATTCTGACCTTTAATATCTCGTAGACGTAGGTAAGTAAATGCAAGCCGACTCAGATCTTCATAAAGTAGTTATAATCCTAACAGTTGTATAAATATCTCATACGCTTTGATATTACAGCAGACTTGCCAATTTCTTATCCGTCTGTAAGAGCTTGTATTTGCTGAGAGATTCTTTAGTTTGTCTGAATACAGGTACTAATATATTATCTATTTAACCATAATAGTTCACAAAGGAAATAAATAAAAGTAGAAAAAATCTATGTCTACTTATTATTAATAATAATCCACTAGATCTGTGATAAAATAAAAGTGATTCACACCATACTCGTAGTCGAACAAGGCAATTAAATATGTGGAATATTTTTATTCTGTAATTAAAGTAAACAAAGTACAATCCAGTAACGGCTTTTCCAAACCAATACTATATTGACATGTTCTTAAAAATACTTTATTATTTCTTAAAATGCTGGCAACTTAGGTACAACCGTGATGTTGCAAGGTTGACTTACTATCAGGTGAGCCGCAAGCTCGTTTGTTACCAATGTTATAAAAAAAATCGATGGTAAATAAGCTGACGACTCACTTGATGGTAACAGGCAACTGTCACCTAAGAGTACTAAGGACATCTCGTCATCATGTGACGCCTGTACCACCATACATTCGTTGTTATTCCTAAGGACTAAAATGTCAAGTTACCTTATCCAATAATTGCACTATCTTAGCACTCCCCTTCTACGAGAACACATCTTAGAAAGCAAGTCACTAGTAGTTCAGTACATGAATCAATACAAATTGTAATTTTAATTATGTTTTTTATTACATAAATATGAAAGGATGCATTAGCTATGATCTGATTGATATTGCTTTCAACAAGGACCCTATTCCTCACAACATATACAACCCCATCTTCTTTTTTATAAACATAGTATGGATAATTTATTGCTTACTCTAAAAAATCACTACATAATATAAAACAAAGTCGCTGTCGCTGTCTGTCCGTCTCTATGTATGCTTAAATCTTTAAAACTACGTAACGGATTTTGAAGCAGTTTTTTTTAATAGATATAGTGATTCAAGAGGAAGGTTTATGTGTATAATACATGTACACTCGTGCGAAGCCGGGGTGGGTAGCTAGTAAATGTATAAGTAGAAAGAAAGTAAGTTTGATGACAGAGGATAATAGGTAAAACAAAGCTATGCAATGCAAGTACATATACGAATTGTAAGAAATCTTGCTAACAGGAAATCCTGTTTCATGTTTGATTGAATTTCCTTCCTTTAAGGACGAGTACAATATAACAAACTAGAAATTTGTACAAACAAATAATTTTAGAAATTACAAAGTTAACAGTTTTGTTTCAAAATCGTGAGTGTATTTCATAACAATTAGCGAAACAACAGTCAGTCAAATACTATTTTCGTCTAAACATATGCGCATAATGTATACAATATGCGCATACTATTATATTATTAAGGCACAATAGCGTTTGTGGCACGCCTTCTATATTTTTCCATCGAATAACAATGATCGGTTTGATTCCGTTTATCGATATTATTCCAAGTTTTTCCAATTATAATTTGCAATTTCCATAAAAAAATTCCACATGTAGAATATTGAGATATGTATGACACTTACCCATACATCGGAATAAACTATGTCTGTTTTAAAATTCGGAGTTGTTGCCTAGTAATTTATTACCCCGATGCCGATACCATTAGGTAGTTAGTTCAAATCTAGCCGACAGCAAAAAAACTGTATGTATCTATGTTTCTTATTGACTTATATTTCCAATTATAAACTGCATTAATCGGAAAGAAGGATGTAATCTCGCCTCCCCATGTTAGATACAAAAATAACAACAACAACTCGTGCCCACGTTTTAGTAAATATATCAAGTTTTGGGTTCACCAAACGTCGACAGTTGACATGCCTCTACCCTACCCTATCTCTAATACCAGTCGTGAAGGTATAACAATTGTTTTGTGAGAAATTAATTATATTTATCATTATCCATTCTTTAACATAAAACCTGTACCATGTCAGATTGACCTCCACGTGGTTTCCCCTGGAAATCATTGCGATCAATTCTTGGTCATCAGCTTATCATCCTCCACTGGTGCCCCGCCATCGTAAACCGTTAGCGCAGACAGGTACCATTCCATCATTATCCACAGAAAACCTGTCGTAATTGTCCAAATATTCAATAAGAAAGGAGGAAAAAACAATATTAATTCCAATGCACGGTATAGGCTAATGCTAATTCGACACATTGTAATAGAGTTGCCAGAATACAATTTGCACAGACTATAAAGCCAAGTCTATTTTATTGCTTAGTTTCGGTAAAACATGCATATCATCAATAAATCACCGGTCGATAGCACTTGATTCAAAGTGCTATATACAATATATTTCGTTTGTTAGTCTTTAGAATAACGGCTTGTAAAATTTAATTATCTATTACATTATTTTTTTTAATCCGCTATTGCGTAGTTTAAATAAAAATAAAAAGTTTACGTAATTAATAATATTGTATATTTACCCCGAAAGGTATATGAATACTGAAATGTATACTGAAATGAATACTGTATACTGAAATGTGAATATAATTATTATATTTTAATCCCATATATCTATTACTTATATATACTATTTTATATGTATTATACAAAAAACAGCCATTTCAGTTTTAAACAAAATTTTTATAGTATACTATCAACAGTAAGTGCATATAATAATGTGATAAAAAACTATTAAAATCGATTAAAACATCAAGAAAACAGTCTTTATAAATAATAATATTAGTAACGATTAGTTTTCAATTCTTGTATTAAAATCATAAAACAGAATAACTGCTTTTAATATAAGAATTGAGACCCTAGAGACCCCGAGAAATATATTATATATACATCCAGGATAATTTATTGTTCGTTTATTTACTGATTCTGATTATATATCTAGTTTAGCTTTCCTCGATGAAGGGCTATCCAATAGAAAAATGTTTTTTTAGTACGAATCAGTAAATTAATAAATAATAAATAACCCTGAACAATTAACACAGCGCCATTGAATCCCACAGTAAGCAGAACTTGCGTTATGGGTACTAGACAACTGATATAAATACTTAGATATTTTTATGTAAATACGTAAGTAATATACATAGAAAATACCCAAACCTATATAAACAAACATACTCTTGAATAGAAATGTTTGCACCAAGCCGGAAATCGAACTCGTGACCATTCGAAATAAAGCAGTGTACTAAACCGTCAATCAGAATCAAGGCCGTCAAGGAGAATCAGTAGTTCCTAGGATTACTGCGTTGAGTAAAACAAATTATTCACTATACATAGATATAGATATATTATAGAAGTATATAATAAAGTTTCCACACAACTCGCCCAGTTGCTATTAAATTCATTTAAATAGGCTTATTATAATAATATTACGCCGCGGTGACATGAGCTGATATTTAAATATCGATCTAAATACATTATAAAATGTTTCATAATTAAAATGGGATTTTAATTATACGAAATAGCACGACGTCACTTCAAATTTGGTCTAAAGTACATATATATGTTCATTACAATGATTTATGTATGATCATATTATAAAGTTTGTTCTTCTTGACGGCCTCGGTAGTCTAGCGGTTTAATGCACTTACTTCTGAGTTTTGACGGTTTGATTCCTCTCAGGATAGAATTATTTGTATTCATTAGTATGATTGTTCATATAAAATGTCTAGACCAATGTCTGGGTGTTTTCTATGTATATTATGCATGGATTCAAAAAGCATATATAAAAAAATATATATTTAAGTATTTTTATCAGTTGTTTAATACTAATAACGCAAGTTACAATTACCTTGGGGCCAGATGATCCTGTGTTAGTAGTCCAGAGTTATTATTATTATTGCTAAAACTGCGTAGTGGCTTAGTGGTTTTTATTACGACGTAGACCCCACAGGTTAGTTCAAATTTGATTATAACCATAAACATTGTGTAAAT